CAACCTCTTTCAGCAGCTGAATCAACTTTGAATTGGCAATCAAAAAATACTGTACAAAAAAATGTTTTGTTGAAAAAGATTGATCAAAGTCAGTAAAGGATTAAAAGGGCTCTACAACAATAGACTCAAGCTATTCTTACTCCTTTTTAAGCCTGTAGACAAAAAATTGAAGTCTTACACACTGATATAATGAACCGTTTACAAACCAAATACTTTTTGATGCCCAAGAAAGCGAAATAAAAAATATAAAAAATGCAACTATCTTCTCTTGAGTCAAATCCGATGATCCCACCATCAACACCTTATTATCCCTCTTCATCTTTCAATACACAATCCTCCCAAACAGGGCCTTATACACTTCTACTTATCAAGGATGTACCTCCATTCTTTTCACTCCTGAAGAATGGGAACAAAAGAAGAAAGCATCATTGCCTCTAAAAAGATTAGATCAACTGCTATCCCCAAACCACAGCCCTTACCGTCTCAAACTTCTTCTCAAGAATTTCCACTATCAAATCTTTCAAAACAACCTCAAATGACGATCAAAAACCCAATTTTCACTTTTCTTCAACAAACTCACAATCAAAATAATCAGTCATTTCCTATTCAACCCAAAACAAATGACATTAGTACTGAAACAGAATCTAAAAATTCATATGATGAGTTTGACAATGAAAATTCTCCTTTNACCCATAACAAATGACATTAGTTCTGAAACAGAATCTTAAAATTCATATGATGAGTTTGACAATGAAAATTCTCCTTTCTATGTGGCTGACCCAGCACAAATAGGCTAATCTCAAACTCAAACACCGGTTGAACCAGTTGTTGATGAATCAAAAGTATTTGATGAATATATGTCTGAAGCTCATGTGAGAAACAATTATTATTCTAATGGCAATTCTTCACCAAAATTCACTTTTGATGATATTCCTCCCTCGCAGTGGAAATATAGACTACATTTTTTGGTGAACTTCATAATTGGATCATGAGAACATTGAAGAAGCTTTGCAATCAAAATGCTTTCCTTAAAGATATTAATGCCACAGGAAAGAAATTGGAGAAAACTTGTGATAAACCTTGTTTGCAGATCAAATGCAGTCGTTCTATGAAAGATTGTGATTGCAGAGGAAAGAAAAAATTCC